TATCTATCTATCTATCTATCTATCTATCTATCTATCTATCTATCTATCTATCTATCTATCTATCTATCTATCTATCTATCTATCTATCTATCTATCTATCTATATATATATATCTATCTATCTATCTATCTATCTATCTATCTATCTATCTATCTATCTATCTATCTATCTATCTATCTATATATATATCTATGTATACAGGGTGTATCAAAAAAAGCGCAATCCTCGACTGAAATGTAAATTGCTAAACAAATAATAGACGAAAACGTTAAAGTTTACATTCATTTTAAAGCTTCGCCATTCAGCTTTCTAACAGTGCGTTGTTTCTTAAATTTGACTCATTGGTTCGCGGGTAATAATACTTTACGTTATTGCGATTGGAGATTAAAAAAATTGAGATGGAATAACAAATCGTTCTCATGAAAATAACTGATTTTTTCATTAAAACAAAAAAATGTTGCATTTTATTAAATGGATTGTAACAATAAGTATAATTACGGCTTTTCTTCCACTATTTTTAACTCAGTTTGAAACTTCAAATGCGATATAATTTTGGCTTGGGCCATCTAAGCTGACTGACATCAACTTGCTATAATTTCTGTTTACATTACATCGCAATACGATGACACTCTGGCTCAGACACCAGAATGTTTTGACGATTTTTAGCATTCGTTTAGGATTTTTAAACAACCTGGTCGGCTCTTTTAAAATACTTTAAATTTGTTCTTACGTGGTTTTCCAGATGTAGTGACGACAACATTAAAGTTTAAAGAAGAAAATTCTAACATTTAAACCGACTAAACAATAACATAGTAAACTTGCATAATTAAACAGCAACTAAAAATGATAGGTTTTACTAAATCTTTTCCTGTGCAATTATTCCTAGCATTGGAGACAAGGATAATAGTTTGTTTGAAAGAGAAAAGAACAGGCTTTGAAGTAAGCCTAAAAGCGTTTAACTAGAAATAGTATTTCGAAAGTTATTAAGCACAAAAGATGAATTGCGTTTATTTTGATACACTCTGTATATGTAATCGGGTGTGCGGGTTGTGATAAGGTGGACCCCCCGCCTCGTACGCCTATGTTCATTCTAAAGACATTCAGATCACATGTCTGTAGTAGAAATTTGCGTTTGTCAGCATAAGAACTAAATGTGTCCCATGGCATGCATATCCTGGACCTGACTGATACTGGCTATTCAGTAATCGAGTGCAAGTTCAAGAATGAAGTGCACAAAAGATTTCAGTCTGCATTTATGATATAAACTTATTTGTCAATCGAATGAGAAACACTAATGCATATTAATATATTCACAGTTCATGGCGAAGACTTATTATCGATACTCTTATACTTTGCTGTTATGTTACTCTATATATTGCGTCAAATGATTTAGATACCGTCTCCAAGAGGAAAGTGCATGTTTACTATATAGAGACGCATCAAGCACATAGAAAACAAAATTAAATGAAATAATATAGTGTCATATATATATATATATATATATATATATATATATATATATATATATATATATATATATATATATATATATATATATATATATATATATATATATATATATATATCGCTTAATATATCTTGAGAGCATTTTAGTTTCTGAATTCTGTCAATGCCCAAATCTGGATAGCCCTCTTTTGATTTAGAATCGTCACTAATGCCTGGTGAAATATCGGATGATCTTTCGTTAGCAACGGCCTCTATATCATTATTTTCTATCCCACTAAAACTATTATAATAAATCACTGAACTTTCACCATCTATATCATCCCAATCAGTGTGCAAGTCTATCACACTGTTAACTGATAGTTGCTCTTGATTTCTTTCATT